ACGGAAATGTGTTTATCAGAATTTTAACTGACCAAATTCCCAGCATTGTTTTGAGGTTAGAAAAACGATAAAGCAATAATTTCTTAAAAAATACATTACAGGAGATAGAAGTTTTAGATTTGTTTGACAAAGACAAAAGATAGAATGACTTTGAGGGTTGGATTAAGTGTCCAACAATATACCGACAGAGCTAGCCGGGCAACGGGTTTGATTCTTTTCAACGGATCGCCTTCATTTAATAAAGAAGAAACATGCCAATGTCGTTTGAAAAAAGGTGCAAGAATTTAAGTCGATCTGTCTAAAACTAATACAGCAGACAATTTTGAACGAGCGCGCCAGGACTCGAACCTGGAATCTTCTGATCCGAAGTCAGACGCGTTATCCATTGCGCCACGCGCCCGTCTACCAAATGGAAAAAGTTATTCTGAAGAAACAGTTTGAGTGTACAAATAAAAGGATCTTTAGAACGGAGTACACGGACTATGGAAATGACTTAATTAGACTTTTAACTTACCAAACTCACATATCTATAGACAGTTTGCATTTCAAAAAATCTGTCGAACGCCCAACGTGGGGCTCGAACCCACGACCGTTGGATTAAGAGTCCAACGCTCTACCGACTGAGCTAGCCGGGCGACGAGTCTGAATTCTTACAACGGATCATTTGATCACGGTTTGATTCATTTCAACGGATCGCCATCATTCAATGAGGGAGAAACTTGTCAAAGTGGGTTAAAAAAGGTTCTACAAGAATTAAAGTCGTTCTGACTAAAATGAATATACCAGACAATTTTAAATAAGCGCGCCAGGACTCGTGCGTGGAATCTTCTTATCCGAAGTCAGCCGCGTTATCCACTGCGCCACGCGCTCGTCTACCAAACGAAAATGCTATTATGAAGAAACAATTCGAGTGTAAGATAGAAAAGATAGAAGATCGTAGTTTTGTTGACAAATAAAACACAAGACTTTGAAGCACTTTATAAAACAATTGTAAAATATACGCGAGCACGCCAGGATTCGAATCTGTGAATCTTCTGATCCGTAGTCAGACGCGTTATCCATTGCGCCACGCGCCGTCTACTAAATGGAAAAAAGTGATTCTGAAGAAACAGTTTGAGTGTACAAATAAAAGGATCTTCAGAACCGAGTACACGAAATATGGAAATGGAATTAATAGACTTTTAACTGACCAAATTCCAGCATTTTTCGAGGTTAGAAAAACGATAAAGCAATAATTTCTTAAAAAATACATTACAAGAGATAGAAGTTTTAGATTTGTTTGATAAAGACAAAAGATAGAATGACTTTGAGGGTTGGATTAAGTGTCCAACAATATACCGACAGAGCTAGCCGGGCAATAGGTTTGATTCTTTTCAACGGATCGCCTTCATTTAATAAAGAAGAAACATGCCAATGTCGTTTGAAAAAAGGTGCAAGAATTTAAGTCGATCTGTCTAAAACTAATACACTAGACAATTTTTGAACGAGCGCGCCAGGACTCCAACCTGGAATCTTCTGATCCGAAGTCAGACGCGTTATCCATTGCGCCACGCGCCCGTCTACCAAATTGAAAAAAGCTATTCCCAAGAAACAGTTTGAGTGTACAAATAAAATGATCTTGAGAACCTAGTACAAGAAATACGGAAATGTATTTATCAGTCTTTTAACTGACCAAATTCCCAGCATTGTTACGAGGTTAAAAAACGATGAAGCAATATTTTCACAAAAAATACATTACAAGAGATAGAAGTTTTAGATTTGTTTGACAAAGACAAAGGATAGAATGACTTCGAGGGTTGGATTAAGTGTCTAACAATATACCGACAGAGCTAGCCGGGCAACGGGTTTGATTCTTTACAACGGATCGCCTTCATTTAATAAAGAAGAAACATGCCAATGTCGTTTGAAAAAAGTTGCAAGAATTTAAGTCGATCTGTCTAAAATTAATACACCAGACAATTTTGAACAAGCGCGCCAGGACTCGAACCTGGAATCTTCTGATCCGAAGTCAGACGCGTTATCCATTGCGCCACGCGCCCGTCTACCAAATGGAAAAAAGTTATTCTGAAGAAACAGTTTGAGTGTACAAATAAAAGGATCTTTAGAACCGAGTACACGAAATATGGAAATGAGTTAATTAGACTTTTAACTTACCAAACTCACATATCTATAGACAGTTTGCATTTCAAAAAACTTTCGAACGCCCAACGTGGGGATCGAACCCACGACCGTTGGATTAAGAGTCCAACGCTCTACCGACTGAGCTAGCCGGGCGACGAGTCTGATTTCTTACAACGGATCATTTGATCACGGTTTGATTCATTTCAACGGATCGCCTTCATTCAATGAGGGAGAAACTTGTCAAAGTGGGTTGAAAAAAGGTGCTACAAGAATTAAAGTCGTTCTGACTAAAATGAATATACCAGACAATTTTAGATAAGCACGCCAGGACTCGAGAGCGTGGAATCTTCTTATCCGAAGTCAGCCGCGTTATCCACTGCGCCACGCGCCCGTCTACCAAACGAAAAAGGTATTATGAAGAAACAATTCGAGTGTAAGATAGAAAAGATAGAAGATCGTAGTTTTGTTGACAAATAAAACACAAGACTTTGAGCACTTATAAAACAATTTGTAAAATATATGCGAGCACGCCAGGATTCGAACCTGGAATCTTCTGATCCGTAGTCAGACGCGTTATCCATTGCGCCACGCGCCCGTCTACTAAATGGAAAAAAGTTATTCTGAAGAAACAGTTTGAGTGTACAAATAAAAGGATCTTTAGAACCGAGTATACAAAATATGGAAATGAATTAATTAGACTTTTAACTGACCAAATTCCCAGCATTGTTTCGAGGTTAGAAAAACGATAAAGCAATATATTCTTAAAAAATACATTACAAGAGATAGAAGTTTTAGATTTGTTTGATAAAGACAAAAGATAGAATGACTTTGAGGGTTGGATTAAGTGTCCAACAATATACCGACAGAGCTAGCCGGGCAATAGGTTTGATTCTTTTCAACGGATCGCCTTCATTTAATAAAGAAGAAACATGCCAATGTCGTTTGAAAAAAGGTGCAAGAATTTAAGTCGATCTGTCTAAAACTAATACACCAGACAATTTTGAACGAGCGCGCCAGGACTCGAACCTGGAATCTTCTGATCCGAAGTCAGACGCGTTATCCATTGCGCCACGCGCCCGTCTACCAAGTGATAAAAGTTATTCTGAAGAAACAGTTTGAGTGTACAAATAAAATGATCTTGAGAACCGAGTACACAAAATACGGAAATGTATTAATCAGTCTTTTAACTGACCAAATTCCCAGCATTGTTTACGAGGTTAGAAAAACGATGAAGCAATAATTTCTACAAAAATACATTACAAGAGATAGAAGTTTTAGATTTGTTTGACAAAGACAAAGGATAGAATGACTTCGAGGGTTGGATTAAGTGTCTAACAATATACCGACAGAGCTAGCCGGGCAACGGGTTTGATTCTTTTCAACGGATCGCCTTCATTTAATAAAGAAGAAACATGCCAATGTCGTTTGAAAAAAGATGCAAGAATTTAAGTCGATCTGTCTAAAATTAATACACCAGACAATTTTGAACGAGCGCGCCAGGACTCGAACCTGGAATCTTCTGATCCGAAGTCAGACGCGTTATCCATTGCGCCACGCGCCCGTCTACCAAATGGATAAAAGTTATTCTGAAGAAACAGTTTGAGTGTACAAATAAAAGGATCTTTAGAACGGAGTACACGACTATGGAAATGACTTAATTAGGCTTTTAACTTACCAAACTCACATATCTATAGACAGTTTGCATTTCAAAAAATTCTGTCGAACGCCCAACGTGGGGCTCGAACCCACGACCGTTGGATTAAGAGTCCAACGCTCTACCGACTGAGCTAGCCGGGGGTCGAGTCTGATTTCTTACAACGGATCATTTGATCACGGTTTGATTCATTTCAACGGATCGCCATCATTCAATGAGGGAGAAACTTGTCAAAGTGGGTTGAAAAAAGGTTCTACAAGAATTAAAGTCGTTCTGACTAAAATGAATATACCAGACAATTTTAAATAAGCGCGCCAGGACTCGTGCGTGGAATCTTCTTATCCGAAGTCAGCCGCGTTATCCACTGCGCCACGCGCCCGTCTACCAAACGAAAAGCTATTATGAAGAAACAATTCGAGTGTAAGATAGAAAAGATAGAAGATCGTAGTTTTGTTGACAAATAAAACACAAGACTTTGAGCACTTATAAAACAATTTGTAAAATATACGCGAGCACGCCAGGATTCGAACTGGAATCTTCTTGATCCGTAGTCAGACGCGTTATCCATTGCGCACGCGCCCGTCTACTAATGGAAAAAAGTTATTCTGAAGAAACAGTTTGAGTGTACAAATAAAAGGATCTTCAGAACCGAGTACACGAAATATGGAAATGAATTAATTAGACTTTTAACTGACCAAATTCCCAGCATTGTTTCGAGGTTAGAAAACGATAAAGCAATATATTTTAAAAAATACATTACAAGAGATAGAAGTTTTAGATTGTTTGATAAAGACAAAAAGATAGAATGACTTTGAGGGTTGGATTAGTGTCCAAAATATACCGACAGAGCTAGCCCGGGGCCAATAGGTTTGATTCTTTTCAAACGATCGCCTTCATTTAATAAAGAAGAAACATGCCAATGTCGTTTGAAAAAAGGTGCAAGAATTTAAGTCGATCTGTCTAAAACTAATACAGCAGACAATTTTGAAACGAGCGCGCCAGGACTCGAACCTGGAATCTTCTGATCCGAAGTCAGACGCGTTATCCATTGCGCCACGCGCCCGTCTACCAATGGATAAAAGTTATTCTGAAGAAACAGTTTGAGTGTACAAATAAAAAGGATCTTTAGAACCGAGTACACGGAAATATGGAAATGAGTTAATTAGACTTTAACTTACCAAACTCACATATCTATAGACAGTTTGCATTTCAAAAAACTTTCGAACGCCCAACGTGGGGATCGAAACCCACGACCGTTGGATTAAGAGTCCAACGCTCTACCGACTGAGCTAGCCGGGGACGAGTCTGATTCTTACAACGGATCATTTGATCACGGTTTGATTCATTTCAACGGATCGCCATCATTCAATGAGGGAGAACTTGTCAAAGTGGGTTGAAAAAAGGTTCTACAAGAATTAAAGTCGTTCTGACTAAAATGAATATACCAGACAATTTTAAATAAGCGCGCCAGGACTCGTGCGTGGAATCTTCTTATCCGAAGTCAGCCGCGTTATCCACTGCGCCACGCGCCGTCTACCAAACGAAAAAGCTATTATGAAGAAACAATTCGAGTGTAAGATAGAAAAGATAGAAGATCGTAGTTATTGTGACAATAAAACACAAGACTTTGAGCACTTATAAAACAATTTGTAAATATATGCGAAAGCACGCCAGGATTCGAACCTGGAACCTTCTGATCCGTAGTCAGACGCGTTATCCTTGCGCCACGCGCCCGTCTACTAATGGAAAAAAAGTTATATCCTGAAGAAACAGTTTGAGTGTACAAATAAAAGGTTTTTCAGAACGCGAGTATAACGAATAAGGAAATGAATTAATTAGACTTTTAACTGACCAAATTCCCAGCATTGTTTTTCGAGGTTAGAAAAAAACGATAAAGCAATATATTATTAAAAAAATACCATTAGCAAGAGATAGAAGTTTTAGATTTGTTTGATAAGACAAAAGATAGAATGACTTTGAGGGTTGGATTAGTGTCCAAATATACGACAGAGCTTAGCCCGGGCAATAGGTTTGATTCTTTTCAACGGATCGCCTTCATTAATAAAGAAAAACATGCAATGTCGTTTGAAAAAGTGCAAGAATTTAAGTCGATCTGTCTAAAACTAATACACATACAATTTTGAATAAGCGCGCCAGGACTCGAACCTGGAATCTTCTGATCCGAAGTCAGACGCGTTATCCATTGCGTCACGCGCCCGTCTACAAGTGGATAAAAGTTTCTGAGAAACAGTTTGAGTGTACAAAAAAAGTACTTGAAACCGGTACACAAAATACGGAAATGTGTTTATCAGAATTTTAACTGACCAAATTCCAGCATGTTTTGAGGTTAGAAAAACGAAAAGCAATAATTTCTTAAAAAATACATTACAGAGATAAAGTTTAGATTTGTTTGACAAGACAAAAGATAGAATGACTTTGAGGGTTGGATTAAGTGTCAACAATATACCGAAGCTAGCGGGCACGGTTTGATCATTTTCAACGGATGCCTTCATTTAATAAAGAAGAAACATGCCAATGTCGTTTGAAAAAAGTGCAAGAATTTAAGTCGATCTGTCTAAAACTAATACAGCAGACAATTTTGAACGAGCGCCAGGACTCGAACCTGGAATTTCTGATCCGAAGTCAGACGCGTTTATCCATTGCGCCACCGCCCGTCTACCAAGTGATAAAAGTTATTCTGAAGAAACAGTTTGAGTGTACAAATAAAAGGATCTTTAGAACGAGTACACAAATATGGAAATGAGTTAATTAGACTTTTAACTAACCAAACCACATATCTATAGACAGTTGCATTTCAAAACATTTCGGACGCCCAACGTGGGATCGAACCAGACCGTTGGATTAAGAGTCCAACGTTCTACGACTGAGCTAGCCGGGCGACGAGTTGAATTCTTACAACGATCATTTGATCACGGTTTATTATTTCAACGATCGCCATCATTCAATGAGGAAACTTGTCAAATGTGGTTAAAAAAATGTTCTACAAGAATTAAAGTCGTTCTGACTAAAATGAATATACCAGACAATTTTAAATAAGCGCGCCAGGACTCGTGCGTGGAATCTTCTATCCGAAGTCAGCCGCTTATCACTGCGCCACGCGCTCGTCTACCAAACGAAAATGCTATTATGAAGAAACAATTCGAGTGTAAATAGAAAATATAGAAGATCGTAGTTTTGTTTGACAATAAAACACAAGACTTTGAGACTTATAAAACACGACAATATACGACAGAGAGCCGGGCAATAGTTTGATTCTTCAACGGATGCCTCATTTAATAAAGAAGAAACATGCCAATGTCGTTTGAAAAAAAGTGCAAGAATTTAAGTCGATCTGTCTAAAACTAATACACCAACAATTTTGAACGAGCGCCCAGGACTCGAACCTGGAATCTT